GGCTGTGGGAGAGCAGAGCCGAGCCGCGACTATCCAGGTGGAGCCCGCAGCCCAGCCCGCGCTGACCCGGAGGCGCACCAGCACCGCGCCGTGCCCTGCACCGCACCGCGCAGTTCCTCGCCGGGCAGAGCAGAGCCGAGCCGCAGCCTCGCGCGCCGCCCAAGACCCACTCGCCACTGCCTCCTCCGCAGCACTCATGGGGACCAGGAGACTTTAAAGGAGTTTGGGGTTTCGGGAGCAGGGAAATCACGGGTACGGAGAAGCGGCTTTCTTTGCCTCGAAAACGGTTTTTCTTCGTCCGATTGTTTGGATCCTTTGCCGGGTAGGAGGGAGAGGGGTCTCTTGGCTGAAAGTGGAGCTCTCCACACACACCCACCCACATTCACTGCACTGGCTGCCCCCAGCCTCCCTTGCCTCTTTGTTAGGTTATTTTAGACAGAGCAGCCTCGCCCTGGCGCAGTCCCATTGGCTCTGCTGGGGAGAGGACGAGAGAAGTAAGGGGCAGAGTGCACCTGCCTGTGTGGGCAGGTGTGCCTGGGTGCCTGCGTGTGCGTGCATTGGCGAGCGTGCAAGCGTGGGACTGGGATTGTGCACAAATGGGAGAGTCTGAGTGTGCCAGTGCGTGGTCGCGAACGTTTGTCATTGTGGGTGTATGTGACATTATCACCCCAGTGTACCAGACTGTCAGCGTCTGGACTCCAAGTGTGTGAAATTTTGCTAGCCTCAAGTGAATGCCTGAGAGTGTCCGATTGTCTTTGTGCGAGCTGCTTTGGGGGGCGAGGGGAGTGCGACCTAGGGCAGGGGAGGTGGGCTGGAGAGGGTGGGGACAGAAATGTGAGCGCAGCTGGCTCCTAGTCCTCGGCCTTCGGCGTCCTTTCTCATTTCCAACCCACCTCTCCACCCCTTCGTCCTTCCCGGGGTGTCCATCACCCACGCTGCCACAGCCCGCGCTTTCCTCCCCACTGGGAGCCCACACGCTCTCCAGCCCGCCTGCGTTTTCTCTGGTGAGAGTTGGATCGGATTCTCAGACAGGGTCGGAACCTGTGCGGCGGCGGCGTTCGTGTCCTCCAGACTGGTGGCTTCTTCTGCGCCCTTCCTGTTCCCCAGGGAGTGCGGGGGGCGAGGGGTGGGGGACTGAACTGGAGCAGGTGACTCTAGTGTGGGAGCGTGGGTGGCCGGCCGGGCAGGTCCCATGGGCACTGCACGTCCAGGGGAGGGCTCTGGGAGGGACGCCCAGACTCTGACGGTGTCTGCCTCTCTTCCGTGTTCCCGCAGATCCCGGCTCCTGGCCCTCGCCGCGCCGCGTCATTGATGGGCAACCAACTGGACCGCATCACCCACCTCAACTACAGCGAGTTGCCCACAGGGGACCCGTCGGGGATCGAGAAGGACGAGCTGCGGGTCGGGGTCGCCTATTTCTTCTCGGATGAGGAGGAGGACCTGGACGAACGCGGGCAGCCAGACAAGTTTGGCGTGAAGGCTTCCCCGGGTTGCACCCCTTGCCCGGAGAGCCCCAGCCGCCACCACCACCACCTGCTGCACCAGCTGGTCCTCAACGAGACTCAGTTCTCCGCCTTTCGGGGCCAGGAATGCATCTTTTCCAAAGTGAGCGGCGGCCCGCAGGGCGCCGACCTGAGCGTCTACGCGGTGACCGCGCTGCCGGCTCTGTGCGAGCCGGGCGACCTGCTGGAGCTGCTGTGGCTGGGGCCGGCGCCCCCGCCGCCCCCCCCCC